AGCCACACTTCCCAACACTAGACCATATCATGATACAGGTGATAAGGACTGTGGGTAAGGGAGAGGATGGTCAACACAGAAGAAGAAGGAGGGAGATAGGACAAATGTCACCAGGGTTGTTTGATAAAACCTCAAGGATTTGTATTACTTTACACTTACCTAAGATCATCTGCATTACATGTAAGTGTACACACACACAAGGATTAACAACGCTCCCCACAAGAACCAAGGATTAAAACAAAACAAAACAAAACAGTACCAGGCATGAGGAATCTCCTTTAGAATGGTTAGTCAGGGCAGTCCACGTGACCCCCTGTCCTTAGTTGCTTTTCAGGATGTGAAGGTAAGCCCCTGCTGCTGAAAACACTGCACACTAAGAAGACAGGACCTAGGTTATCTGAGCTGGATATAACCTGAAAAGCTCCTCCCTGTGGTCTAGCTTCCATACTACCAGTATCACTTGGAAGCTGCCGAGGGATGGGAGCAATGAATAGTCTTGCCCAGCTGTAATACCTATGAAACACAGCAGTAACCAGCAAGCCAAGACAGCCAGGAAAGTGAACTGAGTGGCACTCATATTTTGGTAGCAGCCAACTGCTGTTTAATCGGAATGATGGCCCACCAGGGAGGGAAACCATGCCCGGTAGAAACTTAGCTAACCTCCTAGGGCTGGTGAGGTCATCTATTGCCACTCTGCTACGCCCCATAATTCTTAATGACATTCTAAATCTTATCCTTATGCCCACAGATGAGTGCATTTACCACCTCTCATCACAAAAAAAGAAAAAAAAAAGCTTCTTTTTACAGCAAATGAAGACCATCACAGAGAACCACCACTGGACACAATACAGAGATCAATGAATCATGGGGAGCCAAGTCCAGTGGATATATCTGTATCTCAGCTCTTGCCTCTAGAGCTCGGGGAACAACTCAAAAGAAAGGGCATAAATATTGTAAGAGCCAGAATACCAAGATGCCTGCTGTGGATCAGTCTCTAGGAAAAACGGCTGCATAATCAGGACCTGAACAACCGCAGTATCAACAGACATACTAACTGGCAAAGGTGAAAATCTTACTGGATCACACTCCTTAATAAGAAACCACAGGCAACCGATGTCTGCTTAGAGGGAGGAGTCAGCCTCTCCCCCTAGTTGGTCATCAGCCCGGAAACCATATACACACAAATAACACAGAAAAGGTTGTGTTTATGTATATATATATATATATATATATATATACACACATATGTATTGTGTAACAATAATAATCTAGGAGAAGAGCCTATTAATTTGGCAGACCCATCACTTACACAATCAACATACTCCTACTAAATACTACAAATGAGGTTTCTTCTAAATGTCATCACAGAGACCCCTGCAGAGGATCTTGATTTGGGAACGTCAGAACTATTAAAAAGTAAAATGGAACCCTATTTTTTTAATGGCATCAGTTTTGTTCTGTAGTTAAAATTTTGGAAAAAGCTGAAGGGCAGAGACTTGAGAGAGGTTGGAGAAGGAAAGTGATGGGGTGGGGAGTGTGATATAATTATATTTTAACCAAAATGTCTTAAAAAAGTAAAAGTAAGAGTCAACACCTAAGGAAAAAATAGTCATTCACTAATTCATTTAAAAAATAGTTGCTGAGTCTTTTGTACACATGATTTATTCTGTATTAAAGGCCTTTACACTACAAAAGGCCCATGTGTGACTTAGTTTTGCACATGGCTCTGAAAATTTGAACCTGATATAAGTAGGCACACTTGGTCCTTCCAATAGTTTATTTTTCTACAGTTCACCCTTGTGGGCTTCTAAGAAACAATCAGTGACTTCTACCTCGGAGATGTTGATGATATCCATTAGAAAAGGGGGTGGGGTGGTCAAAGAAACTTCCACGGCAAGAATACCAAGGGTTCAAAGATTTTTGTGGGTGTGTTGGTGTTCCCCTTCCCTCTCCTAGGAGACTAGTCTAGTTAGAGGGTGTCCTCTTCAGTCTCTATGGCCTCTGCTATTTGGAGTCTCTGCTTGAGTTCCTCTTCACATGCTCCCAGGAGCCTAGGCTGACTTAGGTCACAGAGACAGCTCCACCTCAGTTTCTCTTTTCTCTACAGGTCTTAAGTCCTCTTGCTCCCACATGAGGTCTGACCTCTACCCTTATATTTCTCTGCACCTCCTCTCCTACCTTGTTCCCTCTCTTCAACCCCTACTTCTATTGTATCTCCCCTTTCCAGTGAGATTTATGCATCCTCCCTTGGATCCTACTTGTTACTCATCTTCTTTGGGTTTGTGCCTTGTGGTAGGTTTTTCCTGTACTACATGGCTAATATCTACTTATAAGTGAATATATATCATATGTGTCCTTCTGGGTCTGAGTTACCTCACTCAGGATGATCCATTTGCCTGCAAATTTCATGATTTCCTTGTTTTTAATAGCTGAGTTTTCCATTGTGTAAATGTGCCACAGTCTCTTTATCCATTCTTCAGCTGAGGGACATCTGGGTTGTTTCCAGATTCTGGCTATTAGGGAGAGTGCCAACCCCTGACACTATGAATGATACTCGGCTAAGCCTATAGACAGGAGCCTATCAGAGTTGTCCTCTGAGAGGATCTACCCAGCAATACCTCAAAATAGATGCTGAGACTCACAGCCAAACATTGGGTGATATATAGGGAGTCTTTTGGAAAAGTGGGAGGAAAGAGAAAAGGACCTGGAGGTCACAGGAGCTCTATAAGAAAACCAACAGAGCCAACTAACCAGGGCCCCGAGTGGCTTGCTGAAGCTGAACCATCAGCCATGGACTATGCATGATCTGGACATAGACCCCCATACAAAATGTAGGTTCTGGACAGCTTAGGCCTCATTGTGAGTCCTCAAGTAAGGAAAGCAGGGACTGCATCTGACACAGACTTTCCTGCGAACTTTTTCATCACTTCTCCCTGGAGGAGACTACCTTACCAGGACACAAGGGAAGAGGACACCCTCAATCCTGATGTGACTTGATGAGCTGGGGTGGACAGAAAGAGGGGGCTCCCCCTTTCTGAGGAATAGGGGAGAGGGGAAGGAGAGTGTATGGACTGGGAGGTAAGGTGGGATGGGGCTATAACCAGTATGTAAAGTGAATAAAAAATAAATTAATTTAAAAAACAGAAAAACTGAAAAAAAATACCAATGGCAAAAACTGCTCCTAGGAAGCTGTGTGTTCATTCTGTCTTGGTTGTATGGATACCTCTTTATACATCTTGGATAAACATCCCCCAAGAATTATGAAAATCTGCTGAACAGTCATGTCAGTTGATCACCAGACAGTTGTCAAACAAGGGTTCATTCTGAGCAAAACAACATGGCAGGTCAGCAGAAGGTAGAGATGCAAAAGCAATCAAGCCAGACACGTACCTCAGGCCTAAATCCAAAAGTAGCTAAAGGAAGGAACACTGGAACCCCACTGCAACTTCAAACACAAGATCATCACCTGTCTGTTTCTTCGTAGGAAAGTGAAGAATGAGAAATATATGCACAAATCATATCACAGAAAAATGTTTTATAATGTACAGAGTGCTTCTTGTATATTTGTAAATTTATTCTTCATGGAGTGCTTTAGGATAAAGTGGTATGGGTCTATTTTGTTACTGATCTACTAGGCTGTACTTTCTAAAAATTCACTATATTTTCCTTTAAATAATCGAAAGGATTGTAGAAGACTGCCTGTGAAGTAAATTGTGAAAAGTTAAATGTGCGTCTTCTGACACTATATATAAATGCATTTCTTGGGAGGGAAATAGACTAAAATGCCCACAGGGGAAAAAGAAATTTTAAAATAACACTTTTAAAGGCTAGATTATTTTCCAAAATAGAAATACAACTCACACAAAACAATAAAGAAACATCACTTACACAATCAGCACACTCCTACAAAATACAACAAATGAGGCATTTTCTAAGTGTCATCATAGAGACCCCTGCAGAGGATCTTGACTTGGGAAAGTCAGAACTATTAAAAAGTAAGAAAAAAAAAAAAGAAAGAATCCTATGTTTGTTGTTGTTGTTGTTTTATTTTGTTTTTGTTTTTTTAATGGCATCAGTTTTGTTCTGTAGTTGAAAGAGTTAAACCAATCTCAGGAGGTGAGTGAGTCAATTTCTAGCCCGAGGCAACAGGGCTTCCAAAATCTCTGTCATCTCATAAACCGGTAGGGGCAGCCTGGGTGTGGTTTCAGCTAAATGATGTTATGCTTTGAAAAAGAAACTTTACAGCTAGAAGAACAGTGCTGATGATGAGAACGCAAAACCCAACGGTAATCCAGATTACTTTCCAGCAGGATTACTCTGCATTTCACAGTCCACTCGATGGAATATCAAATTCATGCATTTGAATGCTTTGGCTGGAAATCCCTTTTACACCTCCAAGGATAGGATCATGCACAGAACAACATGTTCAGTGACTGAACTGTGGAAGGCATTTCTTAATGGATGAAAAAATAATTATTCTGAGATGACAGTAGGGCAAACTTCACAATGTTAGGAAAACAACTCCCCCCCCCCCGCCCCAGCGGAATCACTGGTTTCCAGAGGACACTTGTTCAAAGTCCTGACAACCATGTTCCTGATGTAAAGTCATATAGAGAATGAGCAAACCTCGCCAAGTGGAGAGAGTAGCAGCCGCATGTTCTCCTTTGCCCTCTCGGAACAGTGGCAGTGAGATAGTTGGTTTCTTACCTGATTTAGGAGGGAAATGGGGAGGGTGCTGGGTACGTAGCATTATGCAGGCACCCTGAGGCTGTTCAGGAAGCAAGTAACCAGCTCAAATGTGGACAGCAGAGAGCACACAGGGCTGGAGGTTAGTCACCTGGGAATGATTTGCACTTTAGACCTACACCTCCTGGTCACAAGGTGTAGACCAAACTGTGGGAACAAAGGCCAGCAATGCAGCCGACTTTCCACAGCAGCTCCCATATACTTTCATAATTACTTAACTGGGGTTATTATAGGATGTATAACAAAAAACACACCTGGGTCCACCTGTCTGGGAGCTCGCCGGAGTCCGTTGGTCCGCTTCTGTGAGGCAAAGAAAAACAAAGCAACAAAAAACACATTGGTGATGAAACCATTGTAGCATGAAACCATTGTAGCACTGATGCTCTGGCAATGAACGTTGCCTTAGTTTTAATTAAAAACACAGCTACAAAAATGTGGGTATAATGTGTCTATTATAATTAATATAATTTCTCTGATAAATTAGGATATCATTACATCTTACAAGTCATTGACAAAAACAGAAATACTGTTGTTTGCCTAATTTATGTATCATGACCCAATATTTCTTAAAGTCATGGGATTTTAGGATCTAGGAAGACAAACCCCAGAGATCCATTCTTGGTTAGAAAATATTCCCAGCAAAGAAATGTGAATTACAGCCTTAAGCAGATCTGTAAAAATTTTAAGTCAAGTGTTTCTGGGCCAGGCCGGACTGAAGAAGGCACACAATCTCACCAAAGACCCAGAATCTGGCTCCAGAAAACACTAAACTGGTAATGAGTTTTAATTACAGATGAACTGTATCTTGATACTTTTGGAATAATGCCTGCAGCTCATGAAGCGTAAAAACAATTATTATAGGAAGGGAATTTATAAATAACAAACAAAACAAGAAAAAGAAGAAGAAAAACTACACAACCATGAAAGCAAGCCAAGAAATTTCTAAATCTGAGAATGTGTGGTTACCATTTGATTTCACAAGCACTGAATTCGTTGTTAATTATTACAGTAATCTCAGATCTAATGAAGGATTGATTTTTGTTTTAATTTTTGTTTTACAAGTAGATGAGAAGTTGTGTGTAGGACAGCTGAATCATTGAGATTTTCATGAGAGGAATTTCCTTTTCATATGTGTTAGAATTTGTCATTGTGTGGATAGGGGCATGGTTTCATAAGAGGCTTCCTTGATTTGAGAAACACACATAAGTGGTGGATTTTTCCCAGGGTGGCTTCTTGGGTTGGTTTCATTCATAAGTTAAATCATTAAAATGTTGAAATGGGGTCTTCTAACCTCCTCAAGGGGCTCAAAGCCATGTCTTAAAGATTCTAGGATTCTTAGGTAAAGGAAATTAGAAGAACTTTAAAAATGTCTTTTTGTTTTTCGTTTGTTTTCACCTCAACTACTTTCAAAATGTATTTTTAAAAGACTAATAAATTTATTAAATAAATTTATTAAAGTCTTCATGTAGTTTCTGCTGAGCAAGCAGGATATCTACCCTAGGAAAACCATTATAAAGAGCACTATAAGAGAAATTATTCCCCTGGCCTACTTGGTGGCCAAGATATAAAAGGAAAAGGCGTTAGGGTTAAAGATATTTCTGAAAATATGAAAGAAAACTACTGTCAAACACAAACTCTTTTCTTACCAAAATTTTTATTTAATTTTTTTGAGCTTTCTACAGAAAGGCACCAAAAAAATGTACAAGAAATGTATCGTGCCAGTTTTTGATTCCCACCAACACCATCATCTTAACAACAGAAAGTGCCTTGCCCTGTTTTACCTTGAGTTTAAAATTAAAGTAGATGACACAATGCAGTTAATGATCACATAGAAAAGGAGACTAACTTCAGAGTCAAAACATTTCTCCTCATCTTTCAGGGAAAATTATAATGGCAATTACTTTGTCAGGATGGTAGTGAGAGTTTATTTGTTTTAAACTTTTGGATCATTAAATGATTCCTTGGTGTTACTATCATTATTAACTTTGTGGAGTTGTGAAAGTGTAAGCTCACACAAGGATGTGTTCTGAGAAACTATAGCTTCTTTGTTTTGCTGTGATTTTGAAGCAAGGCCTCACTGTGCTTCTGATGCTGATGTTGAATCCACACCCGCAAGAGATCCTCTTGCTTCAGTCTCCAAGAGCTGAGACTACAGACAACTTTCACTGCACCCCACTTGCATTACTGATTATTTTATGTTCTTCCTCCTGAAAAGTCATTTAAGTCAGTCACCCTAAAAACAGAAACTCTGCCTTACGAGAGGAGGCAGTAAAATAAACTATATTCAAAGAAAATTCTTTACACAAAGAGAAATGCCAACCAAACAAAGTGCATTAGGAGAAACTATGATTAACTACACTTTAAAAGTACACAAAAAAGTTTGTTTATTTTTTTTTTAACTGTAGAGACCCATCAAATATTTTTAAATCTTTCTGAAATACAGAATTCGATGTCCCTGGCTCCAATGCATTCCTCTCTCACCTATTTTCTCAAAAGGCTGGTCAGGGCTGGACAGACCTGATCTTCAGGTAGAAGATGGGAGGAAGGACACATGCCTGGGGGCTCTCAAGTCCCAGGCTCAGGAGACCCGGGAGGTCTCTGGAGTCTCACTCTTTTTTGATCTACTGGGGGTGGGGGGCAGGGAGGCAAACAATTTTACGAGCACTTGGTAATTCTGTCTTGCTTCACTATCTTGTCTTTTTTTTTTCTTTCTTTCTTTCTTTCTTCTTTTTTTTTTTAATATGTGTATTGTCTACAAATCTCCTGGTCTTCTTGCCCCTTTGTGGGAAAAGTAACTAATTCTCTCTGTTCACTTTTACCAACAGCACAAGCAAGAGCTTCCTTTGTTGTATGGCGGTTACCTTTGGGCCTTCCACAGCAAGGAATGCAATGTCGCTGAGTAGGCATGGAGTAAAAAACTTGCCTAGCAAGGAGGATCTGTGAAAACCTAGGCTGCCTATGAGGTAAACACCCATGGCAAGCTACGCAAGCCGATGAGTCCTGTAGCTGAGGGAAAAAACGGACCTGCCCTCATGAAGTTAAATTTTAACAGAGAAACTCATAATCATACAATCATAGGACCTAAAAACAGAAACAGAGGAGAAATATAAGCCAGAGCAGGACAAACAGAAAGTTTACAAGAAGAAGCACACTCTCGTATTCTTTGCTGTACTTCCGCCTAAAGTGAAGCAGTGTCTAAGTGAACTGGCTAGCCTCGAAGCATGCTATAATCTACCATCCAGACAAAGTGGAGGTTATTAGCGAAGTTAAACATTAAATGAAAATTGCACATTCAAAAGTTAAGAAAATCACTACAGCACTGATTTTACATTTTAAAATTTCAACATGAAAATTAATTCCTTCTTATTAATAGGCTCACATGTAATTTTAAGGGTATAAATGTGTCTGAGGGAATTATTTAATATCATGTGAGAATGATTAACTACTTCTTATTAGCACATTTTTCTTCTGCAAATACACCCACTTCACATCACTTCCTTGAAATAAAATGAAATCATTTTCTTTGGGAAAAAAAATAACACAGACGTCTAATTGGATAAATTAAAGTAACTCTGAGGTGTAGTGCCGGACTCTGCACACTCTCTGTCTCCATGACCTAAGACCAGCGTACTTTGCGAGATCATGTGGTGTACAGCCCTGAGACAAGAACTCCCCCCGTCTGAGAAGCATGACAGAAATTTAGGGTAACTGGAATTAGCCTAAAATAAGTCATTACGTTCTTTTATTATTATTATTTTCCAGAAAATACTGTTGCCTTATTGTACGTTCCCGGTCTTAACTCTGGATTATGACATTCACCCAAATAGGCAGTCTGAACACTGCATCTAACACGAGGTTCCTTATACCATGCCCTTGATCCCCTGCGTGCAGAATTTACACACTTAAGCTAAAGGAGACGCAGGGACGCCTGAAGGCATTTCCCTGCATGTTCCGTATTTTTACTAGCTGTATATATATTTATATACTACATTTACATATTTTTATATATTTATATATATAAATATATATTTATTTACTAGCTATACAGCTATTTTTACTAACTAGCTGATAAGAAAAGAAACATACCAATAAAGTAACCACATTTTTGCCTGGGGTTGTTTTATTTCACTGGGTTTTGTTTTGTTTTGTTTATTTTTGTCCTTTGGTGCTGAAACTGGAGGCATTTGAAAAGACAGATAATGGGATTAGACACTTCAGTAAACAGACTCAGTCATTCTTTCATTCTGAAATTCTCAAGTGATCTTGTCTGTTTTTTTTTTTTTTACTCATTTCATATACATTTTATTTATTTATATTTATTTTCATATGCTTTTTAAATTTTTTTTTGCTATGGTATTTTTGCAGAGTCAGGCAAAATTCTGTAACTTTTGATTGACAGCCAAAATAGCGATGGCCTGGGATCTGTCATATTTTACATTCTTTTCCATGTTTTGAAGTGTCTCTATTCTGAGAGGTACACTCGTGAACCACCTATTTTTAAGCCATGGGGAGTTAGGCTGTGTTAATCCAAAAGAAAATTTTATCAGAGCTTGATTTGATCAGAAAATACTGACCCAAGTTTGTGCTGAAAGAGGAAAACTACTAGAAATCTGAATCCATAGTCTTGGTAAAACTCTCACAAGTTACTCCTGGGCAGTGCAGCAACAGTTCATGGTGTTGTTCAATAGGCCTACCAAATTCCTGAGAGGGAGGCCACCCTCCCCGGCACTCAGAGTCCCTCCTTCATGCATTACAAGGGTAAAATATCCACATTTATCCCCCACCTAAGGCTTCCAGACAACAACTGTGAGAATTCCTGATTCCATTCGTGTTTTGACAAGCACCTGGTGGCCCCTCCATTTCAGTTTCACTCAATTCATCAGAAAAGGCACATTTAACACTGTAGGAGCTCAAGCCTGTTTCAGTTAGCAAACACCTTGAAATGCAAAGCTTACATTAAAAAGTTTAAACGTCAGTCTTACCTCTGGTGGTTTGAATGGCCCTTGTTCTGAAACAAAGGTAAAAATTGGCATCGTCAGTGTGGGTCCTTTGGTTTGGTTAGCAGCCTTAGCCTGTCCTGTGCAGAGTGGCCAAACACTGCCGCTCTGTTTTCTTAACTGATACCTGTAATATGTTTCCAGGGTCCCTCGGGCTGGGCTAGTAATTGTTTTGCAACCTGGATTCTCTTACCTTATTGGCCTGTCAGAGAAGTGACTCATACTTGTAAATGACTCCTGGGCTATGCTTAACTTTTTCAATTGTCTGTAAAGCAGTGGCAAGGCAGCCTCATAAAACTCCATAAAACAAGGACTTGCACTAAATTTATACACACGATCCGATCCTGAGATGCAAGCCTTTCATTCAACACATCTTATCTTAAGATCCAAACACACTGTTTAATGATATTGAGGAGACCAGTTCCTGCAAATGCAAATTGAACATGGCACAGCATTCCCCATGAGAAAGTCTCCATTAGCTGGCAATAAAACTTACTTTTTTTTAGGTAAACTATACTTTGTTTTACAGATAGGAACTTTTTTTAAACACCTCAGTCAGGATTCAATTCCAACATTGTTTCATCTTTACTTCACATATGTATTAATAGGCACAGCATTACAGTTTGGTTCTTAAAACTGAATCACACTTTAGTCATGAGACCTTCAGGGGAGCAGCCTGGTTGGGGGTGGGGTTGTGGAGTAAGTGCACACGCTGCCGCTGAAAACTGACAGGCAGTCTTTTTGCTTCCTTCCCTACATCTAACAGCATCTAAACATGTTATAACTTCTCCAGACAGAGTGAAAACTCCTCACCACTGTGAATGCATGCCTGCACTTTTCCCATCCGAAATAACCTCTACGAAAGGATCTGAGACTGATGCAACCAAAGAAAACATCAGGAGAGCAAGGGCAGGCCTGGATAGAGCTCTGTAGGACTTTTTCTTAAAAAGACTGCAAGAATCCACGTGGCCAGAGTTCACAGGGAAAGCTCCTACCAGGACACCTGCCTGGTCAGAGCAGGCTTCTTACACAAGAAGACTGCCTGGGGCAAGGAACAGGAGGTCACTCTCTGGGCTTTCACTTTTTTTTTTTTTCTTTTCTTTCTTTTTTACTTTTTTTTTTTTTTCCATTTTAAAGGACAACTCCAGATTAATGGGAATGGAAGCTCCATGAGCTGAAAGTCACCTTCTGGAGAAAAGCTAAGTTTGCCTCCCTTTGTCAATTTCAAACCCCATCACTCTAGCTTCACAGATGACTGGTTGTCTCCTGTAAAGGCATCTTTGCTAGGCCAGAAACCAGCTTTTACAAAGGACTGTTCCTGGACAGAAAGGCTAGCTCATGTCTGTTCCTCCCCTATAGAAACAGGTCTCAGGAGATAGAATACCCAAGACGGAAGAGCTGGCTGGGAAGAGAGGCTATGACAGTTATCTTTTAGCCAGACTCAGACTCAGAATGCTGGTTACTTGAACTTACAGTTTCTGGTTTGTTTGTCTCCCACCAAAGCTTCCACACTGTGTGTGTGTGTGTGTGTGTGTGTGTGTGTGTCTGTGTGTGTGTGTGTGTGTGTCTGTGTGTGTGTGTCTGTGTGGGGTAGCAGTGGCTATGGCAGTAGTGTTGTATTCATGTGGATAAACCTGTGTGTGGGGAGAAAGAGTTTGATACCTGGCAATTTCCTTCTTTACACTTTGACCCAGGGTCTCTCACTGAATCTAGGCCTTGTCGTTTCAGATGGGCAGGCTGGCTAGCTAGCGAGCTCCCGGGATTCACCTTTCCCCATCTCTCTGCACTGGGTTGCTTTGGTACACCACCACACTTGGCTCTTACGTGGGTTCAGAACTGTCTTAAACTCAGGAGCTCATCCTTGCCCAACAAGCCTCCTTGCCTAGCCATATCCCTACCTCCTGAGCTTTGTCCTTAGAAGTACACCTGAGGTCCCTGCTCACTGGTACCCTGGAAAACGTATATATCCCAGGATGTCCCGAACTACCGTCTTCTACTGCGGGCAAGTTAGATGAATAACCAAAAGTACAGATCATGAACTATAGGAGCACTGAACAGGAGCAGAACTTTAGCTTTCTATATGAGGAGACTAAGCAAAGCACTGACATGGGGCCTTCTCACATCTTTCCAATTTGGAGTTTATTACTAAATATGCACTTAATTTTAATTTTGAAATAACACTTATTTCTTCTGATTTTTTTTTTGGTGTGGGAGTGCTTTGATGCCCTTGTGAAACAGGTCTTCTACAACTCTTTTCACATGTATCAGTGGTTGTATAAAATTGCAAAAAAAAAAAAAAAAAAAAGCACTGACAACTGTTTTTTGCAGCAGTGTGTCCATGACCCTCGGCTTCATGAGAGCTCTCTGGGTACTGTTTGGAAAAAGAAAACAATGGGATTAAGGTTTCGACCTCAGGACAAAGATAACCACACCTCTACCCCATGTGAGGAAGAGAAGGCCCTCCTTCAGAAGCTCTTCCCACCTCACGATGTTGGACTGGCTGTTAGACAGTCATTGCCTGGCAAAAGTGTTACCAACCACAGAATCCTGGAAGGCATAAGTGTCCTGCATGGCTAGGATCATGCTTCTATCAATGAAGAAAAAATAAGTCTAAGCTGACTCCGATTCTCAGTTGCTCTCCCTCCCTCATTTTCTGTCCTCACATCTCCTGCTTGCTTTCATGGTAACAGCAAAGAAACCTGCTTTCCTCATCATCCTTACTTGGGCACTAAACATCACTTTAGTGTAAAGCGGGTAAGAAAACAGGAATGGGCTCAAAACTGGATGAGTCTCCAGCTCCGAAGTCACAGTCCTTATAGGGTCCTTGCCCTTCACTGTTGATGCCCCATCCCCATGGCCACCAGGGACACAGACTCCTTACTTCCACAGACTTAGTAGAAAGTAGGCAGTACTATGATCTGGCCCTGTTAGGTAAAGCACGCAAATATATGTTCTCAAAATGTGGGTTCTTATGTCATATTACGTGCTAAGTTTCTGGTTTAGGATCTATTGTGTTGAGAGATTTCTTAGTCAGGGTCCTTCGCTAATACTTTTAAATTTTTGACAGTGCCAATAACATTAAACTGAACTGACTGCATTACAGGCATAATCTTAATTCACATAAATATTAATTCAACAGCTCATTAACTTACCGTAACGCAAAGGCAACATTAGAGGAAAACCCAATTACTGCATTAGTTCAGTTATATTTCAGAGTAAAAGTTTATTCTGACTAGAAAAATGGAACAACTACCTTCCCTTGAAGTGTTCTGTGGGAAAGTCGATCTCATTTTGAAGCCTTCAGTCCCACCCTCTACTTTCTCTTGGTATGAATCCAAATCTACTGCGGCAGGAGTTTGTATTGCTAGAAAATTCTGTGGGCACATGGGACAGCAACTATGTCTTCGATAATAAAGGCTCGTTATCATTAAGTGTTTGGCTGAATTCTGACCTAGAAGAAAGGTTGCTGGTTGAAAGATGATGAAAAGTCTCGTTTTCTTTCTCTCTGCATCACTCTCTTTCTCATGGGAACTTTTGTAGGCTAGTAATTCAATTCTTCAAGTTTCTAAAAGTTTTTAATCCTCAGCTTGTCCTTACCCTGCAGCCTACTTCTCCAGCTCCTATTGATCAAACTATAAAAACGCTCTTACCCTTTCAGGGACCTTTCTAGATGGTGACTTATAGGCCCTCAAGAGGTTTAAGTCTTGCATTCTTTCATCATGTCCCAACTGGCTTGATGTAATTCTGAGACGTGGTGTAACTAAGGTGCTTGGAGCCTTTGACGAACTCTACCACTGAAGCCAGCAGAGCTCACTGGGTGTATTTGGATATGATACATGATTTCCACTGAAGTTTTAGGTTCATATTCCGTAGTGTGCTTATTTAAATGCCAGATTCCGTCTTGTTATATATATATTTTTTCTTTTTACAACAGAAGTGGCTCTCAGCTCATACCTTACTATACATTTTGTTTTGTCTTTTATCTGAAGTCCTATTTAAGATTAAACAAGCCAATTCCCAGTAAGATTAGTTGTCCCAAGAGAAGCCATATGAAAGCAATCACTGATGTTTTTATGGAAGGGACCTAGCTATCATAACTAACATACTATTGCTATAAAACATGCAACAACCTTGACCAAAGTTTGGAAGATGATATGTGATGCTATGCTCATTGCTCTGACCTACAGTGGTGTTTTAGGAAAGGATTGAAAGCCACATGCCATAAACAATACTTGGTGGGGAACTTTGATGTCAACCCAAATCTAATCATACAACAGTTTCCAATTCTTTTTCTTTAAAAAAAAAAAAATATTACTGATGAATCACTAAGCCAAATGAAAGGTAAAATAGCTATTCTTGCATATAAAATTGTCTTGATGAATCAAAAAAGATGACTCATTTATACAAAAGGGTTAAGTGCCCTCACACAGAAGCAAAGTCACCTCTTGGTAATGAAATCAGGGGCTCGAGACTCAGTCTATGTTAAATTAACATGATCAAAGGCCTGGCGGTAGAAGACCGAAATAATATTTTACTCTACAAGTTTTACCTCATCTTGAAATATGCACTGCTATTTATAAAAAGAGCCTCTTTCAGATGCCAATTTGTGGTCCAGGCTCTGGGTAAGAATCTCACAGGTTTAAGCCAGCAGGATACTAAGGCAACTTCGTTCCCATTAGAGCTGGCTACAGCAGCAGCAGGAGCAGCAGCTGACCTAGATAAAGAAGCAATTAAACCAGATAAGCAGATGGGGATCTGCTCTGGTTAAATATTAGAGCAGCTGAAGCTTGGGTTGTTACTGAAGGAAAAGATGTTAAACCAGGGTTGTCTGCACTAAACCAAAGTTGTCTGCTCCAGCAAGATCTGCATCCAATGCTACTCTTTGTTTAAACTGGAAGATGAAAAAAAAAAAAAAAGCCATATTGCTCACTGTCAGTGTAGGAAGGAGACAAAAGGGGCTTAGTCATGTAGTCATACATTACATCCAAAGAATATCATAAATGACCCTGAA